TGTTACAAAATTTTTATCGTAAGAATAATAGAATTTTATTATGACACCCTGAGCGTACTACGTAAAAATTACCTGGCAGGCAAAGTGTTAACACTGTAGAAAATTTTGCATACATTTTTGTCATACCATTTCTCACACGAACAGGTTGAATATATAGAACAGAATTTAAACTACGTTTAACTCTCTCGCGTGTTATCGAGGAAAGAAAACTTTGTACGACTGCATGCGTGAGATTTGCATATATTGTATGAGTTTCGCGAAACACCGGGATCATAAGTCGCCATTTTGTCACGTCCTTTAGTATACTCCTAAACTGCACGAGCAATATATATCTTTGCCAAACAATATACATCTCCTTCGATCACTTTGATCGTATTTCGGGCTAGTTTTACGATAGCTTGGAACCGAACGACGTGGAAGGATATACGCACTGCGGTACGGTTTCTAGCACACCGTATCACCGGAAATAACGGCGTCGTTTCCAGTATTCGCACAAATGTCCGCTCCAGTCGAACACCCGAACGTTCTCCGAGGGATGCACACCGGTGGAAGCGAATCGAGACACCGACGTTTGAGATGCGAAAACCCAAACCCGGAGTTCCTCTTTTCCCGCGAATCCTCAATTTTCCGGTACACGCTGGTCGACTTTATGAGGAACGGCGCGCCACGGAATACTTATTGTCGCGTTTGACTTTATTCCACGGAAACCACGTCCTGCCAAGTGTACACGCCCAGGCGTGGCCCGGCCCTGGCCGAACTCCAATTTCGACATGACCCCGCATTGACCCCCTATTTTGGACACTCGCCAACACCACTGCGTTTCCAAATAACATTTACGGCGATTTAATCCGCGCGAGACACATCTGCCGCGTTTTTCCAATCTTTTCTTCAATTCCGAAACGAAGATTTATCCGCAAAATCAATCTTTGTTATAACATTAAGCAGCTCACCGAGAAGGGAATAAGATTCGCGAGATTTATCTTCGTGGCGAAGCGAAGTTTCTACCTTTGTTTGGCAAATAAGAGGAACAAGCGTGCGGTCTTAATTGTTTTACTTTCAACCGATTTTGTTGAAATACACCTGGAATTTCCGAGCCGGTATTTCTCTCTCCTCATTCTTCGAATAGAAAGATTTCTGATCCTGCATTGACCTAGTGTCTTCGACACTCGCCAGACCATTTGCAAATATTTCCCACGATTTAATTCGCGCAAAGTAAACCTCGAAATAAATTTCTCGTTTCTTTACCGTTTGCTGAAATTCTAATATCGCGATTTAATTCGCGCGAAATATATTTCGAAACGAATTCCCCGCTTTTCCTATCTTTCCCAAATGATGGCGTCAAAAACAACGCGACGCTTCGATTCGCGTGAAAGAAATTTTGGAAAAAATCCCAGATTTTTCCAATCTTCCGAATATTCAAAAATACGATCGGAAAAATTTCGGTCTTCCATCGTGAATAAATTCTACATATTCCTGTCGATAATATCCGAAGCGTGTACCTGCAGAGAAGATCTTTTGTGTATTGGAACCATAATCTCTGAAATTGGAAATTGGCTATTGCTGCATATACTTAGGATGTTCCACGTGTCTCTATCGTTTGCTGAAATTCTAACATTGCGATTTAATTCGCGCGAAATGAATTTCGAAACGAATTCACCGCTTTTCCTGTCTTTCCTAAGTGATAATACCAAAAATGACGCGACGCTTCAATTCGTGTGAAAAAAAATTGGGAAAAATCCCAGATTTTTCCAATCTTCCAAAAATTCGGAAATAGGATTGGAAAAATTTATCGTGAATAAATTCTACATATTTCTGTCGATAATACCCGAAGCATGTACCTGTACAGGGGAGCTCCTTTGTGCATCAGAATCATAGTTTCTAAAATTGGAAACTGACTATTGTTGCAAATAATTAGGGTATTTCCTGTTTCTCCACCATTTACTGAAATTCTAACATTGCAATTTAATTCGCGCGAAATAAATTTCGAAACGAATTCCCCGCTTTTCCTATCTTCCCCAAACAATTGTCTCAAAAACGACGCGATGCTTCAATTCGTGTGAAAAAAATTTCAGGAAAAATCCCATATTTCTGCGATCTTCAAAAAATTCGGAAATAGGATTGGAAAAATTTATCGTGAATAAATTCTACCTATTCCTGTCGATAATACCCGTAGCATGTACCTGCACAGGGAAGATCCTTTGTGCATCGGAATCATAATCTCTGAAATTGGGAACTAGCTATTGCTGCATATAATTAGGATGTTCTCTGTCTATCATCGGATAACGATTCACGGGGTCACGATTTGCCTGATCAATTTGCAACATGCAGCAACGTTTCTGGTTATTTACCGTACCGACGCAAGCGTGCGCGTTAATTGAACGCAAACAGGTGAGGAACACAAGCAACGTCTGCGAAGGAAAACAGGAAAACTGGCCTTTATGTTTGTACACTGTGTTTGTAATAGACCTCCGGGTTTGCCTTCGTGAGATTGGAAGAACGGGAAAAAGGTTACTAGAGAGTCGTTGAAAAGAAAAGCAGAGACCTAGCTGGAAATGCTGGAGCATCGCGAAGATGGAAACCTCGGCTAAATCCCATGCCAGATAATTATGTTTACGTTGCATTAGCGCGACCCTTGCATCTCGGTTCCTGAGCCACGCACACTTTTCCATCCGTGTGATGATCTTGCGACCACGTATACGATTTATAAGGTTTAAATGCGGTTTCGAGCGGTAATTTAATCGGAGAATTTCGGAGGATATTTTCTCGTTGATTTGTACACGCTCCTCGAGCTCGAAGAGAGCACGAAAGTTGTTCCACAGGTAAGTTTGACGAGGTCTATAACGTAGATATAGAATACCTATTCGAAGGTGCATGAAATATCGTAAAATTTTGACAGCCTTCGTAGCAAGTCGCAGAAAGCGTCTATGCAGACTTCAACGGCGTGCAAATGTGCTGTATAGGTGTTATTTGTCAGCGTATGACTCGGGAAATCTACATAGCCGAGACACAAATTGAAAATACGAATTGCGTCGTGACACTTTGAAGACCTTTTATAGAGACCCGTGCAAAGCATATTCGCGAAATTCTATGCTACGAAAATTGCATCGAATTTTTATTTTTATTTTTATTTTTCGATATTTAACACGTTGAGTGCTACGTCAGTCCCTGGGGACTGATAGTAGACTTTACGTTTGGATGACGTGGACTCTAGGAACTGACAGCAAACTTTTCATTTAGTCGACATTGGTACGTGAGACCGGCATTGTCAAGGGTTAAATTATTAATGACAATTAATATATTGTGTAAGAGTATATAAGACTATGCGAACTCAGGTTACCGATAAGGTGGTGTGAATCATGAGCACGTAGCAGTGATAATAGGAGTCACAGATCGAAGCGGCGATCTGCTCGATCTTCGCGATGAATTAACAAAGGAGGCCCATCTTTAAATGGGTAGCTCAAGGAATGGACCAAGGAAGTTTTACGAGAGAGACGAGAGGAGCGTGTGTATATCGTATCCAGAAGAATAAAGTCAAATCGGCCACCGAGAGTTAGACTCATTTTAACACGTTAAATGCCCAACCCATTTTGCTAGCCGTTTCATACAGGTCCAGACTAGACCGTCAAGTGGGCCACCATAAAACTCGGAAATACTGTATCAATTGTTATAAGGAATTTGCAAACGTTAGATCCAAAGATGGCGAAGAATTTAACACCAAAAATTAGCACCTTTTGGTCCCAGTTTGGGCCGGTCTCTGAGGACTGGCCGGGCCCGAACGGAAAGTTTAGGGACCGGGCTGGCACTTAACGTGTTAACCAAGCCCTCTCCTCTCTCCTTGCAATTGTAAAAATTAAATTCCCTCTGTTGAAGCAAATCTTTAAATACTTTTCTAGCTTTTTCTGACTCAATTTTCATCGTCTCTTGGTGATCGCCTTTTTTCCTTTCTGTCATTTCCCACCCCGTTATCTCCTGTTTATAATTTGTACGTTTGTGCATTGGCTGTATCATTCTCACAGTCTAAATGACAAAGTAATCCAAAGTAATCTTCTATTCATACTCTTCAGCATACTCGAGCACTCGGCATCAAGTGCACACTCGCTTCCGCCTGAGCGGAGAGTATAGCAAAATCAACGGCGCCACACTCAACGTGTTAATCAAATTTTTAACTTCTCCTGGTTCTAACTCGCGAAACATTTTTACGAAGCATGAAACTTTCGCGAACCGAATGCGAGAAAAATTGGGAAAGCTTGCTAGTAACGTATGCAAAACAGGTTTACGAAGTTTGCAACGTGAAAATTGGTATTGCACGAAATGCAGTGTCCTGGATAATGAAAATCCTATCAGCAGGGAACGTGCTAACCGTGGCGTGCCGTGTTCTAGGACACCTGGTGCAAAAGATGGTGCCACGTCTCTCAGAGGAACTTCTCCGTGACGACGAGCAGCTTTACTCCGAGCTTAAGTTCGATCCTGGCGAAGGAGATGGGGGATTCGAGGGCGTCGAAGGATCACAGGCCAAGGAAATCGACGAAGGATGACGAAGATGAGAAAGGCTTGAGCCCTGTGATCGCGGAGACTGCTGGTAAGTGGTGAAACGAAACGAAATTTAATAAAAAGAGAAATAAAATATCCGAGAGATAGCTATTTTTGTCCTGTGGTCCTTGGCGAGTTCCGAGTACGAGTACTTTGATCTCTGAACTATTCCTGGGCGCATCTTAAATTATCCTGGTGTCTCTGTATTTCCTGTACAGAGCCATGGCGGAACGAGTTCGCGAAACCAGCTTTGTTGGTTTAACGTATTATAGAGAACCGTAATCCAAAGTTCCCTCGGAGCTCGACACCGTAATTCTGTATAAATAGATTGTTATATTTAGGTTTATGCCAGTTGCCAATCCCATCTTGATGTCTCCCAGAACTCGTACAAAAATTCGCCGAATTCTCAAGGCGACTTTAAAAAATTCTGCGATAAGTACCTTACTTCTCTCCCGACCTCTGCGCTCTCATTTCGAGAATAAAAAGTAATTTGCGTTATTAAAGCGTGGTCTACGTTAAACTCGTTACTTAACTGTCCCACGAAGCACGTATTGTTCAATATTTAGCTCCGCGGGAGAAACTACCAACGCGTTAAAAGGATTAGGTGCTAGGAGGTATTTTTACCGGATATTTATTTCGTAGCATGAAAACGACGTAAATAACAATTTAACGAAATTCAGAGCTCGCTTGACTTCCTTATGTACACTCGCATCTCTCTGCGACCCTTCGGCTAACACGGATACATCGCTGCAACACCGTCACGATCTCCGAACTATCGACACTTTGATACCCTTAAGGCTTAATCGAATATCCAAGTTGCTCGTTGCTAAGAAACCTTCAACGACGACTGTACAATTCTCTTTGACTGCCGTCGAAACGACGACAAAGATGGTATTCTCGAGCGATCGGATGGTGAGGCAAGCGCCACTGATGTGCACCGTCTAGGGGTGGGCCTAAACGCTGATGCACTCGGTCGAAAATACCAACTTTTAGAAAAGTATCGCTACCGTCGCATACTACCGTAACTATCGACCCTCCTTTGGCAACGTTCCCTCTGGCTCTACCGAAACGGACCGAATATATTACAAGAAGAGCCCAATTCCCTCAGGAAGTTTCCAAACGCTGGCTTTCCGACCCGTTCAGGCTGTCCTCGAGTACCTCGAACTCCTCGAACTCCATTTTGCCGAAGTCATCGGCACTCCGCCAATTATTTTCGTTCACCTGCCACCTGGTCAGAGCACTGCCGATGAATCGACTCGCGTAATTCGATTTCGCGTCGTCCATGCAGCCCAGCTTGAAGTCCGCCTTGAACGCCTTCTGATCCTTGTTCTCGTCCTTCTTCGGCTCCAAACCGATCACCACAGGTGGTTCTCTCTTCGCTTCCTCCTCGGTCGGCCTGCTACTCTCCTCCTGCTTAGCTTCCTCCTTTTCCGACTTGTCTAGAGTCGTGATCTCGATACTGGGTGTTTCCGCTATGGTGTACTGGCTCAGGTCAAGCGCCTTGTCCCGATTGCGATGCCTCAGATGATTTTCCACCAGTCTTCCTGTGAGCTCCAGTCTGCTGTCACAGGAGTTGCTCTTCACCAATCGGAACTTCACGTAATCGTTCGACCCATCGACGCACTTGAACCTGTTCTCCACTACCGGCGATATCAATGGCCCGTTGCTAGAATTCACCACCTTGCCACCGTAGTAAGTGACCGAGGTACCGCACTCGCGGATCTTCTTCAGTACATCCTGGGACACGTAGTGGCTCGGACCGCCAGCCTCGTTCACCTCGTCCTCGTGACAATCGACTTCCTCGTCCTCCGAGGAGATGCACTGCACTCCGCTGCCGGGATCAGTGTCAGGGTAATCGCTAGACACCCCAGAGCTTACGCTACCCGCGTCCCAGTTATTATGGTGATGGTGATGATGATGATGGTGGTGGTGGTGGTAACGGTTAATCTTGTTTTTCGAGGAAGTCGAGTCGCTGGGAGACGTGTGACCGCTCCTGGCCTCGAAACTTTGAGCTAGAATCCTTGTTTTCGACTCGCAACGGGGACTGTCCAACTCGTCCTTGCATCCCACCACGGACGCGTTCGAGGACGTGGACTTCTCCATGTTCTCGAATAGTTTCGTGAGATCCTTCGCCCTGCTGGAGCATCTGGACCTGACATGGCAATTTGGTTAAATGAAACCGAGGGAAGAGGGTATCGTGCAATTACGTTATACCAACACGTTCCGTCTGTGGTAGAAGCGGAGTTGGAATGGTAGGGAACAAGAGCGTTACTTCTTGCTAATTAAATATTCTAACGTAACTCTGTCGCTCGAGGTTAATTTTTCTCTCCTCGAGGAACGCGTTGTATGCAGAAGGGAATAGAAAAGTCGCGACCTACCTGGTTCCCTCGTCCACCTTCTCTGATAGTTCATCGTAATGGCTGTCGTCGATAGAACTCAGATCCTTCATGCTCACGCTCTTCCTGTCCTTGTCCCGCGAGTGCTTCGAGCCAGAGCCATTCTTCATCTTCAACGTGTCCTCGAACATGCGCCTGACGTTCCTCACGGTATCTGGATCCGGTAATTCCTCGTCGATGAGCTCGCGATTCACCCTAATGGGGTGATAGAAAAAGTGCTTCTTGATGGACGATTGCTTCGGGCTTTTAGGGTTGTCGCCATCCGCGCTCTCGCAGTTTCTCTCCCGACTCTCCGCGTCCGTTTTCTTCTGTATCGCCGTGGCTACCTTGCAACTTGGCTCTGATCTCGCCTTTCCCACGGTGGACGGCTTGCGCTCGATGGTTTCGGCGCGTACCGGCTCGATGATCACCACGTTGTTGTCCAGCAGTAGCTCCTGAAAGGAATACTCTCGCAGGTACTGCATCAATCCCTCGTACGTGACGTCGCCACGAGCGCTATTGTATATGTTCTTGCTGAACATGTTCGACTTGACGATCTTGTAACGCACGTGATCGAACTCCTGCTCGTCATCCGGATTACACTCGATGGAATCCACGCAGCTCCTCGACCTGGTCAGGTTGCCGTGCATCTTTTTGCTCTCGTTTCCCTTCGCTGCAGACCCTTTGTCCATGCAGGTGGACGGGTGATCCTCGTCTATGCCATCGTCCACGGACCTCCTTCTGGTGTCGCTTCCCGATTCCGAGCCTAAGCCCAGATCAGAGCTCTCGGACCTAGCCTCGAAGCCTAGGCTCCCCTTCACCACGCTGCACGCCTTGCCGATGATATTCGTCGTCTGGTTCACGATTCTCTCGAACCTGCTGCCCTCGCTCTGTTTCCCTTTGCTGCTCTCCTTCTGCGTGTTTTTCTGCTCGAAAAAGTTCTTCGTGTTCTCCACGCTCGTGTTTGCCTCCGAGTCCTCCCGGTTTGCGGTCTGAAAAGATAAAAGTCGCGCTTTGTACGATGTCCATGGCGCGTGCTAATCTTTCACGGTCTAATGGACCTGTGTGTGTAATTACGTTTCTCAAATACAGACGAGTTGTCTCTTCGCTACTCACATCTGCGCTTTTCAAAGCTCCGTCGACGTCTCCGACTTTTCTGTTCGACTTTGCCTGATCTATACAGTTGTTCGACTCCATCCCGTTGTCCCGGAATTTCTCGTTCCTCTGAGCATCTCTGGTAATGGAATCAGCGTCCACGCAGAGACGACGATGCCGCCTCTTGGTCACGTCGTTGTCCACGACCTTCAGCACCTGTGGCCTCCGCGACATGTCCTCCTGCTCTTCCGTATCCGAGATCCAAATCGACTTGTAGTCTTCTGCCTCCTCGACCTTCCGATCGACCTGGTCCTCGCAGGGGACCTCTAACTCGTCATGGAGCCTATATCTGTCCACGTCGGTGTCGGAACACGCGGATCGTCGGCCTACGAAGTCGTTCTGCAGACAAGATATCGAGTCCCTGTCGTCCTCGAAATCTTCCTCAACGTCGTGACACAATTCTTGCCTGGTATACTTGGGTGATAAGCCCTCTCTGGATCGGTGCGAACAGTCAGATCCCTGCTGCTGATAATCGTCTTCTCGAATCTCTTGCGGGCTGTTCCCTTCCTTGCTGCTGCTTTCTTTACATTTTTCCTCGTCCGTGGCGTTGCTTCTCGTGGACGACCTTTCCTCCACAGCTCGTGAGTCCAGGTACTCCAGAGATTTTAAGCTAGCCTCGTTCCTCTGCTCGAGGTTGTTGTTTCGCGCGTCGTCCTCGTCGAATTCCAAACGCACGTTTGAGAGAGGTAGCAGGTTCAGGACGTCGAAGTACTCTAACTCGCCATCGTCCTCGAAGAGGATGCTGTCCAGGCTCCTGTGCTCCTTACGTTTTCGCTTCACCTGGAACGCAACGAGTATCGTACTTTTTATTTTTGTTTAGTTCGAGTAGAATAGCCTTCGAAATTTTGTATCTGATAAAATGGAAATCTATTAAATGTGGATATTAAATTTTATAATATCAAGTTTGCAATAGGATCAGATAAAATGTACAAGGTTTCATACTTCGTACATATGGATTCGCTTTCACCGTTTAAACGAATTGCAAATTGCTGTAATATCGAGAAACTGTATACGCAAACATGTATACAGTAGTATCGTTCGATGAAATTTCATGGTACGTCTGAATACCATTAGCGTTCCCAGCTCTAGTAATTTCAATTGCGTTATTAAAATTCGCGAAATGCACTCGAACAGGTGCACTTCCTTGAATATTAATTCACGTAAAAATAGCCCGGATCGCGTTTCCACGGGTTTTTAATCGAACAGTGCAATCACCTATGATCCAGTGAACTTTAAACGAAGTTCAATGAAAGTGGCTAGGTAGCAAACGACAAACAGGTTCTGATTTTATAACGTGCAGCCTCGTCATAACGTAACGCCACTGTAGACCACGTAGTTGATCACGTGAGATTATTGCTCGCATAATATTGGCCTTTCCGCGTCTACGCGAATGCTAATTAGTCGTACGAGGTGCTTCAAACGGAGATACCTTCGACATTTCGCGTTCCGCTTCCATCTGTCCTTGAAATACTTGCGATCTAAACATCTAGCACCGATTATTCTTCTCTCGCGACGTCATCGATATTCGACCTTAAGTGTCGAGATAAACAAAGTGATCCTCGTTCTCAAGCACCATGGGAGATAAGCGCAGAATTTATCGTTCGACATTAACCTGTCCCTACGTAACGACGCACATACCATGTGCATCGTATGCTACCTCATGCACCCAGAGACACACGTAGTTACATTATCGATCGCTGCTCAGGAAATTCTTATGGCAAATAAAATCATCGGAAGATAAAATAATAAAAAGCTCGCGAAGATGTTGAAATAAAAAAGTTTTAAATTATTACCAAGCTATAGTACTTCGTTGAAAGTAACATATACGAAGGATCGAGTCACTACGCCATTATGGTACCCAGTAACGTACCATAACGATAAAAATTACGAAGCTGATATTTTCGAAAATACGAGTCTACATAAACTCCGCGAGCAAAGTGCAATTCTGTTAACACGAACGTGTTAAAAGTCTCCGCTGCAGACATTAGAGCAGTTCCGCGAACAACCGTGTACGTTAAATAAAAAGGTAGAAAAAAATTCCAATTTTCACGAATCGTTCCGCAACGAATCGGCGATTGGAATGGCTCGATCGAGCACAGGGTCGCAGATTTACCTGGGTGTAGATGCAATCGATGCTGCGATTGCCCTCGATGGGCCAGCCGTCTTCAACGATGTCCACTAATCCGCTAACTGTGTCCAAAGCCTGCACACTGCGATAGCGTCTCGGCGATTCGGGCCAGTCGAGGATGTTCAGTCGGTCAGGATCGGTCCGATTGCCGCGAGTATAGGGCAGAGGATCCGGAAACGACGGGAGTCCCGACGGGATCGAGTGTAGACCGCAAGCAGACCGGGAATGATAGGATTTCGCCTCGTTGAATCGCTCGTAGGAGTCCGAGAGGTGCTGTTGACTCTTACAGAGCCTGAAATACACGCGAGGACGCATTGGAAACTCGTTGGATCGAGTCGAATAATCGTATTACGCAAGCCTGTTCAGCAACAGCTGGCGATATTGTTCCTTAAGCGCCAGCAACTCGAGGGTTCCCAAGATTTACGTGCCTGCTCGCTCGTTTTTGCGCGTTTTTATCCCGCGGATCGTCCCCGACGCATAAACGGAAGCTGCTAACGTTTCCGTCCGCTAAAACGACTGGCATTAAGGGATTTGGAACGCCTATTGACCTACGGGTCCCGCTACTAGGTTGGTTTTATCGTATTAAACCCTCATCAGGGAACACCGCGGAAGGATGGCAAGAAAGTGTCACTGGCGGTCTGTGACAGCATTTCGAATGGAGAACTTGGCGAATCTGTGAAACGAGTTTCCGTATGGTCCACGTGGTTTGAAATCGTTCTAACTTGCTGATAATTGGAGTCACGGTTGGTTAATTTAGCCAGCGCTCTCGTTGAGCCAGACGTTCTCTTTGGTCTGACGTTGAAAAATGAAATTTTCCGCTCACGAAACGACCAATTCCTTCCATTATCGTTTCTAAATTCGACGCTCGTAACTGTACGTTCGATGGAAACGGGAAAGGACTCGAAATCGGACGGAATCGCGAATATTGACAGTGTCTGGAGCAGCCAATAGAGACCACGCGAACGGAACTGCTGCGAGCAATTAAAAAGCTCGGAGAATCTCGTTATACGTAACGAGTTGCATAGTAATTAGCGTTCTCTAATGGAAGATATTTCCTCGCTGTGCGAAACGCAGCTGGTGCTCCTGTTCCATTCGCAAACATCGTACAAGCCAAATTGTGTCACTTAGCGATTAGAGGTTCGCGATGTGCAGGTCGACCACGTGCCAAGTAATCATCGTAATCGGCTTGCTGTCAAATTAATGGCGTCAAAGCGAGTAAACTTTCGAAGCGTTTAACGCTCTCATGGAGGATCCGAAGATGAAGAATCGACAAACCTTGGCACATTTCCAGCGATAGGATCGCGAGGATAGTCGTGATGAACGGTCTGACTGAATGAGCTCATCGTCGTCTCTGAAACGGCACTCGCGGAAGGTCTTACCTGTCCTTCAGAGAGTTCCGATCTATCAGCTTGGCACGCGGGATCAATTGGTGCCTCCTGGGCAAATCGAAGGTCGATTGCCCGAGCCTGAAGTGATGCGCCTCTCGATCGTGCCGAGATTCGTCCTCGGATATCACTGCGAGGCTCCTCGTTCGTTTCAAGAGCTTCCTGCGGTCCTGTGTGGACTGCGCCGAATTGGCCTCGTGTCGTCCCCCTTCTCTGCAATCCAACGAATCAAATTAGACCCACTTGCCGCTCGTCTATGGCTTTCCAAGTCATCCAAGTCGGATAGCACTCGGATTGTTTTAAGAATGGTTATGCAAGCAGACGGGTGGCAAGGTCTGAGGACCGTGATAACGTCCAGGGACTAGGTTTCGCATGAATTAGGTTGAGGAGACCTCTTGTCGGATTGTAATCTGGTCTAGAGGGTTCGAAGAGTTTATTAAGGTAGGTAGTGGTTCTTTGCAAGCGTCGCTTTTCTGTACCAAGTGTTATTTCGTTGGAAATGATCCTTTTTCGTAGGGATAGTATTTGGAACGTTGACATTAACCTTAAAATTATTCCCTTATTCTTTACTTTACCGCGAATTATCGGATTATTCTAAAAATGAGTTACTAGGAAATTTGCAATCAAATTAGCGATTGATATACCCAACAGTATAGTCGATAAGATGGGACGGATTATAAATTAAGTCATATATTTCATATATTTTACATATCATCGTATTCCTCTCAAGAACTAAACTCAGCATTCCTACTTTTGGAAGTTTCGGAATCTTACGCAGTTCTAGACCCAAGTCTCGAAAAATACAGGAACCAAGTTAGACTATATCTCTGGTCCACCCAGTTCGTTTGAAAGACCTTATCAGAATAAGCAATAATTCTTCACAACCATTACTCTGCTGTTCTCCGGTTCGCCGTGAACGATCCTTCAACGCCTCGAGTACCCGCCAAGTGTCGCAACGAAACCAGCATATATCACATGCCTGTCCTCTCAAGGTATTATTACCGGAAGTAGGAAATGCCATTACCACGGCACACCAGGGTCCCTCTCCCTCTGTTACCACGTCAACGCGTCAATACTGCCTTTCAACAATGAACGGAACTATGTCGCCGCAACCCGTTGTGCACGAGACGGCAACACGGATGCTCGATACGGATCTTCCATTGACTTCGATAATCCTTTCATGGTAGTCAGCGTACGAAGGATCAGCACTCGCGAATTGACAGCGTCCGGAAGGAAGGGAACGAACATTTGTCGAAGCACGTCGAATGGAACGAAATACTGGAAGAACACAGTGAGACAAAGTCTAAAGAAGATGACCAATTGGAGAAATAAATCTGAAATCTATTAATATTCTAGAATTTCAATACCTGTTCACTTGTCAATAGCAGTGGATCGTGTAAGATATAGAATTGACCGTACAGTGCCAAAATTCTTTATTAATATCTCGAGAACTATCGAATTCCCGAAACTGAAATTTTAGGTTTAGGATTTATTTTCAATTTCATCCTTATGAGTCTCTGAAGCCTCTCGGCACTATACCAAGATCGAATGGAAGATCACCGTGTGTTTATCGAGAAGGACATGGTCACTCGTTCCAAAATGGCACCTTTTCGCTTGCGCGCAAGGATCGCTGCGCTTATTCCAGGCACGACTCAGGATTTGGCCACGACTCGCATAAAAAATTCGTGCAGGCCACTGGTGCATATCTCGCTTTACATAATCCTTCGAAGTTGCCATACTGTGTCTCCTGCACCGACAGAGACAGGTTTTCCTCGGGATTTTATAAGTACCAAAACTGCGGATTCAATTACGCGCGACAACGTTCATCTAGCTGAAAGCAGTCATCCCGTGTTATTCCTCGGTGTTTTAAGGACGACTCGTCTTTCAGCGAATGGGAAATCGAAATTGACACTTTCTAAATGCCGTTCTCTCTGGAGCGCGAAATTCGCGGACGCTTTTCGAGGATCAGGATTATATTAAAATTGCAATAGCACGAGAAAATGGCACCCGATTGGACGTCGGACGAAAATAAATTCAACGAATAATAATTTCGAGCTGAGCCTGCGACGTTGATTCGCACACGAGCAGGTCGATGTTAATTGTGAGAAATAGAAGGCCACGAAGAAGTCATCCCGTGTTATTCGTCGGTGTTGTAAGAAAGACTCGTCTTTCAGCGAATGAGAAAATCGAAATTGACACTTTCTAGATGCCGTTCTCTCTGGAGCGCGAAATTCGCGGACGCTTTTCGAGGATCAGGATTATATTAAAATTGCAAGAGCACGAGAAAATGGCACCCGATTGGACGTCGGACGAAAATAAATTCAGGGAATAATAATTTCGAGCTGAACCTGCGACGTTGATTCGCACACGAGCAGATCGATGTTAATTGTGAAAAATAGAAGGCCAGAAACGACGAGATTCGCGGTGATACGCGTTAATTAAATTTCGTGATGTTCATCCTGGTTTAATGCGTCCTGCTTTCGCAGATATCACTGGTTCGGGCTTGATTAGCGGGCTTCTAACGAACTAGTTGCACGGGTCCGCGACGATTCCCCGGGACCATCGAGAATTGATACATTATTGTACTTTTACCGGATAATAGCACTCGCGTACGACCATAATCAACGAAGCGGTCACGCAACGTTCGCTTATTTGAAAACTGGACGAAACCACGCCTTTATGGGTCTACTTGCTCGACCAGCGTTGACAGAAATTAGAAGCCAATCTGTCCCCTGCGCTATTTCCACGGCCTGCAAGAAATTGTGTTACGACTTCTAGAATGGAACTGGTTACGCGAACTTCGAACTCGAAGAAAGTTCCTGGAAAAGTGAAATTCGCTGTTCGGAAATATAAAATCCCGCGAGACCGGATTCAGATGGGACATACAGTGTATTTATTTTCTACGGATGTTACGTACTTCTGGCGTAATTATTATTCAGTTGCTTCCTTTTCCTCTCTGCGGAAAAACAACTGTTAGAATTTATTAGTATATCTTCGAAAATAAATTTATAATTTACGATTCCTGGAAACAACGATATTTATTACGATTCCGACTAATTAACATCGCTCGCTGGTTTTAATTTACTTTTTTCTGCATTAATAACCGCTTTGTCGATATTATTTATTTGCACTGTTCGTTAAGTCCATACGCCTCGATAATTAGATCGATGGACTTTGCTGGTAACGTGTTAACAAGTTGTTATATATTAAAAATAAAAAAATGAAGGAAGTAAAGCTGGAACTTTAGCGTTAGTTACTCCTTAATTATTCTCTCGCGAGATCTTCCGCAAGATCCGCCACTAGGAACGCATTCGTTAGGTAAAAATCTTAGATCAAGTCGAGGTGCAATTATTCGCTCCGCGTAGATCACCGCACCCATAACAATGGCGGAGACTTTCGAGCAGCAATTAGAGCAATCAACCGCGTGACACTGCAAAGGCCATCGCGAAATTCGTGTCAAGATTACTGCGCGTTGAAATGCACAAACTCGGCGTTTACGAATCGCATACTAACGAGTTATGCGACCATCTCGTGGGTGAATCGTGATGGTTGTGCAAATAAAATGTAAACTTGGACCGTCGGAATTTCCAGCTCGGGGATCCATGCTCGATCCAAGATCCAAGATCCAGCAACGAATACGTTACAACTCAGCCGAGCTCCCATCTATTCCCTTTCATCTCCATCTAAATAATTCTCGTCTTAATCGTTATTCCACTTCGTATCTCGAATGAAAGCTAGCATATTTTAAATCCTTTTCATCAATCTTGGAAAATTCATCTCGCAAAATGGCGTCCATCGAGAAGAAATTTGCCAGGAATTTTAATATCGTCGACTTTCTATCTCCATTGATTTAACTTTAATGTGGCCACTGAAAATCGATTGTTACTCAACGACCACGACATCGCACGTAACTTTTCCAGACGCGTCGTTCGCGGATGTTATAACGGCAGAAAGATAAACCTAACGAGCTGGAAAATTAGGTTAAGCTTACGACCGAAAAGCGACTGGTGGTAAGAAGCAAAGATTATCGCGCAATGTTCTTCGAGGATATTTCTCTATACCCGATCTTCATCGACTGCGACCTAAAAATCGAACAGGCTGTCCTCGACGGATCGACTGGTCGTCGGATCGTCGCTCTGTCGGTATTAAAAATGAAAATCGTGACACGTTCTCAGGCAATCTCCCTGTTTTTCTGGCTCTTCTTGCGAGCATGGCTAATAGCCAGTCGAAGATCGCTGGTTTTTCCGGCCGACCAGCCAGAAACTGCAAGTAAACGCGTCCTTTCGACCGCCTTCGCGAGCCACGAATCCTTGAAGCCAGGATGCAAATGGCGTATCGTCATCTCATTGTGTTCGGCTGAGCACAGCGAGCCGTTACGTAAGATTTTTGCCAGGTTATCTCGGCTAGCTTTACCAGCCACGTTTTTCGAGCCACGTGAACCCAGTCGGGGCTCTTTATTTTACTTCTCTGCTCGCCTCGAAAAAGAAAAGAACGCCGGGAAACTTTAAATGACCAACATTCAGCCGAGATTCTTTAGAAACTCTTGCCTAGAGAGCCCCGGTTCATCAAAGACGGTGAAGTTATAAAATCACGTGCAGTACGTTGATGGTAATTAGATTGCAGCCCTTCGAGTCGTTTATCGTAGTTGAAACGAGTGCAGAAATTCTGATTAAAGATGTAAGTGCCTCTAGAAAGCACGCAGTCATGCTACTGAGTACACGAGAAGTTACTTAAGAACGCTGATCCCTCTTCGTTAACCATTGAATAGCTGATACATCTGTGCCCCGTTTCTGTAACGTTTACCTCGTTACCATTTCGTCCTTTCCACGTTTTTACCACGTGAAAGAGACGGCAAAAGATTGTCAAAGCGGTATAACATGTCTGATGATATTCGATGGAACGATAGCTGAAAGAGATTCGGAGAAAAACCCGCGCCATTCTTCCAGACCGGATATATGGAAAGGCCACGGACCTTTCGCGGGATTGGGAATTTTCCAGCGATTTTCGATCAGCGGCTCGATTCAAAAGCGAAACGCGATTACCCTCGTTTGCGACCTGCGCCCGGACAAAAACCGTGTGCCGAAGATCGATGGCGGCGGAACACACCCCAGAGCTTTAACTGGTTTATCGATGCTTTTACGACGCGATTCGCCATGATTTTTCTGTCGCTTAAAAAGGTTGTCGCAGGAACGCGAACGTCGTAGACGAAAATA